TTCAACTGGCGGCCAAATCAGGACCATGTGTGAGCTCAGTTCGGCCCACCGACGGGTTCATTTTTAAATAAAACTAGATTTTAAACCGTAAAACAAACTTAATGACAACTGCTGGATGTCCGGCCCCTGAGCAATTTAGCTGAAGAGCCTTGACCTAAACCGCTTTAGGCAGAAAAGTATATACAAGTTTTACAACAAATATCTTCTTTTTTTTCTGGGAAGACTTGCACATTTCAGCAAGACGTTGTTAAACCACCAACTGTATCCGCTCCAGCTGCTGAACTATGAAACAAACTCTGACGGGGACGACGCAGGACATAAAATCTGACGCCAAACAATAACCGAACATTTCCCTCCAAAATAAATCAAACATTTTGAAACGAGCGTCGAGACGCGTCGCTGCCATCAAAACTCAAAATCAACTCCAAAAACTCGCTCAGTTTCTGATTTTAAACATTTGCTCAATGAATAAAACGTGGGCTTAAGATTTGCAAATCACTGCATTCAGTTTTTATTCACGTTTTACACAACATCCAAACTTCTTCAGAACCAGGGCTCGAGACATGAACAGAACCTGCAGCAATAAACGCCGAGCAAACGTTGCGTGGATTTTACAAAGCTCCGCCTACAAACACGCCAGCTCGGCTTTTGTTTATTATAAGTTATTTACTCGGCTCCTCCCATCCTGAACGATTCATCCTGACGTGAACAAAACGACCTGCTCCAACGGAAACGGGCGAACCGTGGAGGACGGCTGATGATCCACGACATCCTGTAGTGTGACGGAACAGAGAGGCACCAAAACTGCATTTTCATTACGCAACATAAGTTTATGACACGAACGCATTTCTTTAATAACTTATCAGCAACACTTGAGTAAAGCTCGCTGTGAAACGACAAGCCCAGTCGGAACGTGAAGCCGGACTACAGGCAGGACCGGCTTCTCTTCGATTCAAACCGAAAATAAAAAACGTTCCTCACGACGACGGACGGTTTAAAGTCGTGTTTGTTGCCGACGTCGCTCAGTGAGATCAAACGGTGATTACAACTCGACCTACGGTGCAAAATAAAAACATTACAAGAACTTTGGAAAAAAAAAAAACCCGA